TTTAATTTTGAGGCAGAGTTGGCTTGAATTTGCAGTTCTCCCTGCCTCAATCTCCCAGAGTGCTGGGATTACAGGTGTGCACTACCATGCAGAAAACTGATTTAGTTTGAGTTGTGTAATACTCCCTTTTTTTTAAACTAGGTATCACATTTATAAGTTTAATTTTTTACTTCTAATCAGTGAAAGTAAGTTAATAAAACATTTACTTTGTACGTTAAGCTTCATTGATCTAGTACCTTTACTGTAATAATATGATAATGTAGTTTTCTGTTCACACGTATGTCATTTGTTATATTAGTTTTGGTTCTTATTCATTAATGATTTGGCTTCCTTGGCTGTGACGGAAAAATATATTCTAAGAAACATGAGTCAGTCCTATGTTAGTCTCCACATAGAATGTAATTTAGTTACTACCTATAAATAGTTTGCAAATCACTGCTACTACCTGAAAGCTATAAGCGGGACCAAGACCCCACACAGAACTGAGGAGTTAGAGCAATGAGAGCCCATGGTCCCCCCATTAGCCTTCGGAGGCAGGATGGACCCAGAGTTGACCGGCTTCTGCTGTAAGTACTGGCCTTTGTCTTGTCATGTTAAAATTCTCCTAGGTATTACATTTATAAGGCTTATCCGTTTTTTAATTTGTTTACTAATAGAGAAATAAACACCTGCATTATACAATTAAAACATATACTGTTTGGGGCCGGGGATTTAGCTCAGTGGCGCCATGCCTGCCTGGCGAGCACGAGGTCCTGAGTTTGATCCCCAGACCCAAACAACAAAATAAACAAGCAAAAAAATATACTGTATATATGGTTCCATGTTTTGACAAATGCCAGTAGCATCAGTGTTATTAAATGTTACCAACTCAGAATAGTTTTTGTAGTCTGCTGTCCTACTTCATTGTCAAAATAGAATTCCTTCTGTATTTACTTAATATACTATTCATCATAGGCAAGGCTGGATGAAGTGCCTTCTGAAATTTTATTTATATTGTACATGTTTCAAAAAAATAAGTCTTTTAGTCATCATGAACTAGTAGTTTCTCTGACTATATATGCTATTAATATATATGCTGTTAATCTCATTGTGGGCTGATATTTTTTAGTACCTGCTTACATTTAGGAGTAGCTCTTTGGAAGAGAAATACTTTAGTGGTAGGGGGAACTAATGCTTTACTGGTTACAATATTGGTCATTTGTAGTACAGTTGTTTCTGGAAAAATATGTATTGTGTTCTTAGAAATTTTCAAATTACTGTAAAATGTATATCCTATCCTAAAAGGAATTAGTCTGTCAGAATTTTTCCATAGTTTAGAATTAGGGAAACTGTACTTTGACAGAATCTTGAAATGATCCTATTAATGACTGAAGAAAACAGTCAGTGTAGACAGAACTCTAGGATGGAGGGGTTGGGGAACACATACATTTCCAGTGTGGGAACTAGCATGGTAATTGTGAGAAAAGCAAGTTTATATTCCCTAAACACAAATGTCTTGCTTTAGAGGCAACAATATTGTCTGATTTATAAACAGTACAATTTCGTGGGAATTATTTTTGCCATGAAAGATGTGTAAGTCCTTATTTTCTGTTTGGCACACTTTCTTGAGAATTGTGTGTAGATAGGCATCTTTTTAGTGAGCAGACTAAAAATTAGCTGTAGAGATGTTCAACACTTCCTTCAAACAAGAATCTGCACACACATGAACTGCCTGTTTGAACCACTGCCTGTTTGAACCACCAGTCAGTGAACTTGGAGGTGCATTCTGGCTGGTGCTCTCCTCTTGTATCAGTAGGTGCTGTGTCTTCCATGGCCTGAAAGCCCTAGGAAGCCCTGATGTTGTGGAACAGTTACCTAAGTCAGCTCCCCCAGATACAGCTCTTCCACCGGCCGCCTGTCGTGTCAGCATGGCTTTGCTTGTGCTGAAAGTACTGCATTGCTTTGGAAACAGAATGGACTAAGGGGTAACAAAAGCTAAGAATTAAAAACAAAATGCAGTCAGAATACCATGTGGCTCAGCTGTGAGCAGAATTTAATTCTTGTGTGGGTCATGTAACTCAATATCTTGTGAGGGAGCTGCCATTGGAGAGAGAGACATTGCAAAAGCATGAGGACAGCTGAGAGAGGGCTGGAAGCCAGTGGGAATGCTGGGCACTGAAATGCTAGGCTTGGCATGAGCTTTGAAAACTGTGTTATTTTGATATAAATCAAAGCAGAGTCACAAAAATCTAAAAAAAACTTAAAAACTTGGATCTGTGTTACAAACCCCAGTTAAATTTATTCATTAGATGTGGTAATTTTAAGTGGCTTTTCTTTTAAGTGGCTTTTCTCTGTCTAGTTTTTATTATTGAAAACATTCTTCTAGTTTTAAACATTTAAAGGCATTCTTTTAGTTTTCTAATAAAGTGTAAATAACATTCAAATTGTATAGTTGATAATGTGAAATAGGAACAAAAGGGCTAAAGGAGTAGAGGAAATGGGAAGGGAAGGGGAAAGGAAAGAAGGGAAAAGAAAAAATATGAGAAAAGAAAAAAATGGAAACAAAGTCTTTGTAAATAGGGACGGGGGGCGGGGGTGAAGGGAGGGCAGGGGCATGGGGAAAAAATAACCAAAAACGCGTCATGTAAAGGTACAAGAATGTATCTGTACTGTATACCTACAAAATACCAGTAAATTTAATGAGGAAAAGAAACATTCTTCTAGTGTGTCTAATTTTTTGCTATCAGTACCACAGTGATAACAGTTATCAATCAAAAACTTGTGCAGCTAGAGATTTACCCAATAGCTAGTCAGTACTATATCCTTAAAATTGATTTTATTAGCTGCTTATAAGGAGCCACTCCTGCAGGATGCTTTTTGTCTTCTTGTAGTCATTGTTTTTGTGAGACAAGTAGGTGGATTTACTTGTCATGAGGGTTTTTTCTGCTGTGAAAGCCAGCTAAAGAAACAGAAGGGAGGTTTGGAAAGATCTTGGTTACTGATGCTGCTGGGAGGATCAAAGGGCAGCCTGCCTTGGTCTTTCATGGAATGTTGCCTGTTATCATAGCCCACCCAAGTCATTAGCCTAGAGAAAGTTCCAGTGTGAGATTTCCAAATAATAATTACCATTACCATTACAGCTCACATTTCAAGTGTTTTGCCCAGGAACTTTTTAAAGAGCCTTTACAGTATTGTGCTTCATTACTTTTTTTCCTACAGTGCTATAAAATGTATGAGTAGAGTCTCACTTTGTGGGGGTGGGGCATAACTTTTCCTAAAGATAATTTGGGAACCATATATAAGGGGTTATCTAAAAATACAGTGGATGTTTTAAATTTTAAAATTAATTCAATGAAAATTAATGTTTTCCTCCCTTCTTGCTTTGGGCAAATTTGCCCATCATTCTAGCCACTTTTTCTTTTTTCCTCTCTCTTTGAATTTATTGGTACATTTTAGATATACAGTACAGTTACATTCATCGTTGGAATCTTATACCTTTACATGACAGGTCTTGGTTCTCATTTTTTCCCCTTGTCCCTGCCCTCCCTTCACCCCCTCCTTCGCTCCCTATTTACAAATACTTTATTTCCATTTTTTCATTTTCTCATATTTTTTTTCCCTTTTTCCCTTTCCCCTACCCTACCCACTTTCCCTACACCTTTAGCCCTTTTCTTCCTATTTCACACTGTCAGTTATATCATTAGGATCTTATGTACCATTATAGTTTTTCACACCAGGGAAACTTCAGTATTTATACATGTGTGACTTATTTATTTCACTAAGGAGTATATCCTCAATATCTAGCCACTTTCTGAAGCAGCTCTGAAAGTCCTCTTCCATGAATGTCTTTACTAGGTGTGATCAAAAGTCTGGTGAATGCTACTGCTAAAAGGCAGGCCTCCAGAAGCACTACAGTATATCTTCTTTCACCTTATTCGCTGTATCTGGCGCTAGTGGGACTTCTCGTCCTTCCTTAAAATCAAAATGACCTTGAAAAATAAACATTTTTAATCTGTTCAGGACATCAAGACAAACAGGATAGCACAACTGAAGATACTCATGAAAAAGGACTTCCAGAACTGCCTTAGAACGTGACAAGAATGTATCACACCTCATACTAAAAATCTTAAGAAATATATGCCTTTTACCCAGCAGATATATGTCAGTATTCATCCTATAGAAGCAGTTGAAAGAAGATTCAAAGATGAAAATAAATGCTTATTGCAGTATCAGTACTAACATTGGTATGACTTGCATCCTACCATAGGAGCCTGCTTGGACTCTGGAGAGCCTAACAGGGGCACATGTGCATTCACAGAAAGTGAAGATGCTGCACACCCTGCCTTTGGGTAACCCCATGGTGTACTAGTTAGAGAACAGAGTAGTAAGAAAAGGGGATTCCAGTTCATTTTGTCTTTCAAGTTTGTGTATACAGTATTACATGAAGAAAAGTTTAGAATGTACTCATATATACCAGAATGTGAGTGATAGTTGCTTCTGGATATGAGATTTCAGTGACTTCAAGTTTATTTCTTCCCTTTTTATGTACCTGTATGTGTTTAATTCAGCAAAAGTTTATTTAGCTGTTGCTAAGAGTAGTCATTGTGTTTTCTGGAATGATAATTTATTTCTTGTACAGTTAAAATTTGATGTTACATTTTAGGAAGAAAATTGCAGACTTAGAAATTTTTTCACTAAGCAGTTAAAGGATGACTTGATCATTGGGGTAGTATGTTTGGTTACATGGGAAATTCATTACCTGCAGTACTTTATTCACAAGACTTAGAGAATAAAATGGGACTTACTGTGACATGCTGAGGCATCCAGCCCATCCAATGCTAATAGACTGTTTGCATTGATGTGAAACCTAAATTAACTCCCAGATAGCCTTTCTTAAGAGAGAGCGAAGTTAATCTCATGCCCTGCGGTCCTTTTATTTGACTCAAAAATAAAGTGAACATCAGTTCATTTGTAGTGATGATTGGCCATAGATACATAATTTTAATTTTTTATAATTTCAGGCAACTGCAGGAACAACAACGACAAAAGGAGCTGGAGAGGGAAAGGTTGGAGAGAGAGAGAATGGAAAGGGAAAGGCTGGAGAGGGAGCGCCTGGAGCAGGAGCAGCTGGAGAGAGAGAGACGGCTAGAGCAGGAGCGGCAGGAGCGCCTGGAGCAGGAGCGGCTGGAGCGGGAGCAGTTCGAGTGGGAGCGAGAGCGCAGAGTCTCCGGTGCTGGTAAGCAGCTTACTGTGCTGCGGCCTGCCTTGTTTGCTGTAAGCGAGGGTGTTTGCTACTAAGGTGCCTGGCCGTGCCAGATGGCTGGAAATTACAAAAGGCACGTAGCAGTGACTACCTGAACGTTTCATTCTCATTTCTCTCTGTATTGTTCTTATTGCTTAGAGACTTAAAGAACACGCTTGGCAATTTTTATTTGGCATTCTAATTCATCTAACCTCATAGATTGGCTATAGAGTATGTATTTTTATGGAAAATTTTTTATATTAGATGAACTGGAAAGTTAGTTCCCTCATGAAATTTCTCAAATTGTCTCAAATACTACATAAAGTAGTACAATACCAGGCAGTAAAAAATTAGCTTGATTAGGGCCGGGGATTTAGCTCAGCGGTTTGGTGGCCAGCCTTGCAAACGCAAAGACCCGAGTTCAATCCCCGGTACCAAAAAACAAACAAACAAACAAACAAAAAAACCAACCAAAAATTAGCTTGATTATAATCTAAAGTTTTTGAAGGAGAAATTAAAGCAATAAGTGAAAAGTATTCTAAAACTGACTGTATATTTAAATATATTTTCTACTATTCTGATGGAATTGATTGAAAGACATTAAGAGATACCTGAAAGTTTGAGGCAATCATTAAGATTAACATCCATTATAGAATCTTAAGAATTTTTATTCCATGTGGCACATATCAAAAGTCTCCATGTAGGTAGATTAGGTAGTGGTTAAGTTAATCCATTTGTTTTGACTGCTTAATTGTTTTCTGGAGGAAAAGCTAACAAAACAACTATTCTGCAAGTTAGCATTGAAATAAAAAGTTCTTCACCTTTTGTAGTAAACACTTTACTAGTTTTTCTGTTTTTTTAAAAATTAAATTTATTTTCATTTGATTTTAATATTTTAATGGGCTAAATAATGAAAGTTAAAGACTGCTATCCCGTACAAAGGACAAATTAATCTGTTTAATTTATTAATGTACTTACTAGTAAAAGAAAATGTCATTTTCTGGATCTCAAACTGTATGTTTACAAGTGAAAATCCTCTCAGGTGAAAAGGTTATATACACGTGTGCCTGATTCTCTGTACTAACTATAGTCATTTGTACAGTTGTCTGATTGCTGGTTTTGTGGCTTCACTTGCTCCTTTTTCTCTCTCCTTTTGTATCCTGTCTCTGCTGCTGCTTCCCACCTCTGTCCAGCTCCATCTCCAGACAGCTCCCTGTGTAGCGCTCCACCTCCTGACTACCCCAGTTGCCAGCCTTCTCCAGCACCTCCTCCATCACACGCCAAAGTCATCTCAGCTCCAGTGTCAGATGCCACTCCTGACCACGCTGTTGTGGCTGCTTTGCCACCTGCTTCCACACCCCCTACACCACCACTGCGACACTCAGCGACACGTTTTGCGACATCTCTAGGCTCAGCCTTCCACCCTGTTCTCCCCCATTATGCTACAGTTCCTCGTCCTCTGAACAAAAACTCTCGGCCTTCTTCTCCTGTGAACACACCTTCTTCTCAGCCTCCAGCAGCGAAGCCCTGTGCCTGGTCCCCTTCTAGTTTCTCTCCCCTCCCTCCATCTCCTCCAATCATGATTAGCAGCCCCCCTGGCAAAGCTGCCGGTCCGCGGCCCATCCTTCCCGTCTGTGTTTCTTCTCCTGTGCCCCAGATGCCCCCGTCACCAACGGCACCTGCTGGGCTGCTGGACTCTGTGCTGTGCCCAGTGTCTCCACCACCTACCTCGGGGCCGCCGCCCCCACCACCACTGTCCCATGGCGGAGCTTCAGCTGCCCCTCCCAGCACCCACCTTGCCTCGACCCCCTCATCCAAGCCCAGTGTTCTCCCTTCTCCCTCTGCAGCTGCCCCTGCCTCTGCGGAGACTCCTCTAAACTCTGTGCTGGGAGACTCCTCTGCTTCTGAGCCCGGCTTGCAGGCAGCCTCTCAGCCGGCCGAGACTCCAGCTCTGCAGGGTAAGGCTTTCCTCATTGCTGCTGGCAGCTCGCCTCCAGAAGAGTTGGAGGCCACAGCTGCCACCTGAAAGGAAGGGAGGGGAGTTTAATAGTGGGACATCAAGATTCCAGAGTGCCATGTCGGGTATTTTTCCATTTGGAAAGTTAAAATGGAAATAAATACATTTTATTCTGTTTTATCATTTGCATTTGGAAGGTTGGTAAGGGGAATTTCCATTTTGTCCTAAATTTAATATCTTCTCCAGTATCATAGTAGGTGTGTTCTAGTAATGGTGCCTTGGATCATTAACTTAATTTGTTCCATGATTCTGGGAAAGATGACCACATTTGTATTCATGCAGGAAAGGTGTCTCAATTGTGTTTGTCACCTGATGTAGAGTTTGCAAACAAAAACAAAATTTTGCCAAACATTTGTTTGCAAACCAAATTTTCCTAGGAAAATTTTACTTGACCTTTTTGATCTATGATCTAAACTGTTTTCCTTTACTTTCTGGGCAACTCAGGTATATACTTAGTGCTGGCTGTGGTCTTGATGTCCTGGGCTAAGACACACACCCCCAGCGCAGTTCTGGTTTGGGACCCCCAGTACCAGGCTTTCAGGTGGTACACACCGAGCCCTGGAGCACCCTGGCTGGGCAGGAGGGTACAGAGGGCAGTGGGCTCAGTGTGCCCCAAGCATGCCACAGCCTGTAGGTATGAGAGGATAGCAGCCTCCACAGGTGCCCTACACCTGCTGTGTGGGGGCAAGGAGGGGACATGACCTCTAAGAATGATGGTGTGTAAGTAGGGAGGACCTACTTCTGAATGTAAATAAGATTCCTATGGCCCTGTTTGGGGTTTTGTTTTGTTTTTACTTAGAATTTAGTGAGGATTATAGAGAGGGTGCTGAAAAAAATTTGTACTTAATAGCATTAATCTCAATTTAAACGTACCTCTTTTAATTATCTAAAATAATGTAGTAAGGCTTGTTAGTGCTATGCATATTTTTGTTGTTAACTTGTGGAATTTTCTTTAAAATAGAGTTAAATTCTAGACTTAGGGCCCGGGATCAGATCAGAACTACAACAGTAACACTGGACAAGAAAGGTGTGCTCCCCTGTGCCCTTCAGGAGGGGACAACCGCTCCACCACCTCTTTGTGTGTAGCACGAGCACTTAACGTGTCCCCAAGATCCCTTTCAATCCTGCAAGAAGGAAATTGCTTATAGTTCAGTATTCCAATACTAAGTAATTTCCTGTTCAATCTCAGAGATTTTTATGAGATTCGAACATTTCTTATGCACCAACTTGAAGGCTAAAGGCTTATATTTCAAATTGTACGTTACTTCTGAGAGTTATGTTATGATTTTACTTGTATTAGTAAATTCCCTTACTTCAGCGATTCTTAACCTTGGCTACACTTGGAATTATTTCAGTGTAGAATATTTTTAAGATAACAGCCTGGGACACATTCTGCTTTTACATTCTGAGCCCAATGACTTGGACCATGTATAAACAGGAAACATCTGTCTTTGTTATAGTAGGATATCGGGATATACTATCTCAGCGTTCACATGGATTATTTGGAGTATGGTATTTCAAATAATAATAGCTGCTACTACATTTACTCATTTGTTTTTTAAGAAATATCTGCCTCTTTCCCAAATTTTATAAGCATTTATTTTATTTTTTAAGTCCTCATGGGAAAAAAAATTAAGTAGATAATCTGTTGCATAGTTCATTACTAAAGGTCAAACATTAAATACATATATTTGCACATTGACTTTATATTTTAATATTTTTTTAAAACTGATCTAGACTGTAAACATTGTAGTAAATTAAATTCCTGTGTCATATTTGAGTTAACTTAACATGGAATTCTGCATACCTATCCTCATAAAGTAAGACTGCTCAGCTCTCAAACTGATGGTCTGTCTTAACATTTCTTCCTCTCAGGCATTGCCTTGGGACCACCTGCACCTCCACCCCCTCCTCCCCTCCCACCTGGACCTATCCAGGCCCCAGCTCCCCCTCCTCCCC